GGGAAAAAATGAGGCAGCTGGTCTGGGAGAGGGGGCATTCAGGGTATCTTGTTCTCTACACAAAGCTGGCCTGGGAGGGACTTCATTTCTGCGTCAGCTCAGCACAGCCGTCAGCCAGGACAACACCCCTTCCTTCTCCAACACCGCTCCTGCCTCTGAAATCCCAAAAGACCAAAGTGCAGCCCGTGGAAAGCTAATTAGCAGAGCTCTCATTACATCCTCCCGCTTTCTCCTCCCCGGCCTAGTTCCTACCTTTTTATTCCCAAACTTGCCTCCTCCTCCCCGCTTTCCCTGCTCTCTTCTCCTCTCCTCCTTGTCCGCTCATCTGTCTTCCTCGCCCCTCTTCTCTCATCCCAGTTCAGCTCAGGCCGTATCGCGGGGACCCTGAGGAGCGGTGCCAGTGGAAAGGGATGCACAAAGTCAGGCCTTAGCAGATACAGCTCCGCTTGTCGCTGCCCGCGATGGGGGTCCGCAGCGGGCCTGGGGCTTGACCTTGTTATCCGTCTGATCCCCACCCCAAGATTTGGTGGCCGATCGCTACGTGGGAACACGGCCTCCATCCTCTCCCACCTGCCCCAGCGGGGCACGTCGTGACAGAGGCCGGTTGCCTTTGCCCCTGGTCGTCACGGCTCTGCGGCCCTCGGCGTCGCTGCACCAGGCAGGAGACACTCGGGTTCGGGCCCTCGAACAACTGGGCGACTGCATCGGCCAGCTGCAGGACCCCAGCCTGCGCGTGGACCAGCGCTGCGGCCCGCCGCCCTTTAGTTATGGCTGGGGGGGTGCTCTGTTAGGGAAGGGGATTGTGTTAGTGCAAGAGGGAAGGGGGATCACGCCGGTGCAAAGGGAGGTCATGTTGATGCAAGGGGGAAGGGGGCTTGTGTTGGCGCAAGGGAGTTGTGCTGGTGCAAAGGGGCTTGTATTAGTGCAAAGGGGGTCATGTTGGTGCAAAGGGGGTTGTTTTAGTGCAAGGGGAAAGGGGGCTTGTGTTGGTGCAAGGGGGAAGGAGGGGTGTGTGCTGAGGGGTGTGTGCTGG